CTCCATGTGCCATGTCATGCCATGACAGATGAAGGAGCAGTTCAATCTCAGTATTGTGCAAATCACTACTTTTCGTGTAAGAGTATCAGGAAGGTTCTCTGACTAGACTAATTTTATTTATTTTTTTTTTTTTTTGAGCTAATTATTTTCAGTTTCATAAATTTTGAAATTTAACTTTTAATTTTATTGGTATTATGTAAGTATATCCATTGTCTGCTGTTATAGGCACAGAGAATACTATTCTGAGGGAAAAATATCAGAGGTATCTATAAGGAAAAAAGGGAATTCCATTATTACAAAAATATCTGACAAAACCCACACTCTTAGACTTTGAATTCTGAAATACACACTAAAATGAATGATGATACTTCTTTGTTAGGAAAAAGATTAACAAAAAAGTGGTTTGTATTCTGGAAAATTCCATATATGGGCAAAAAAGTTTTATGTAGTACAATAGCTTGGTGATGCTCAGTTATAGTAAAAGCTAGTTTAAATTTAGTTACGAAATCCAAGGATGTGTCTAAGATCCAGAAGTTTGGCAAAAAATGTATCAGTGTGATTTTTAACATTACTTTGTTGCAGTAGTTTAAGTTGTGATTAATGACAGTCAAAGACATATGATTTTCATATTTTTTTTTTTTTAGTTTATCACTCCTCCTCAGTATATGAAATCACTAACATTTTATTTCCCTTTTTAAATGACTGGTGCCTCACTGTTTTATCTTAACCAAAGAACAGGAAATGGAAGGCAGGAGCTCTGGATCCACATCGCACAGCCCAGTCACAAGACTGAGAGTGGAGACCAGAGTGGGAGTCACAACTGCAGACAGCACATCTTTTTCTGAGACTAATATCCAAAAAAGGTCTTAAATGAAAAACAAACAATAGTTTCAAGTTTTGAAATGCAAATCTTGCTGGAAAATTGGAGTAATCTGCTGTAACACTGTGAAACAGGGGTAGTTTATCCTGAAGGCAAAAGTTTGGAAAAGTATCTTAACCTTTGATACATTAATAATGTATATAATTAATTTACAGTAATGTATAATTAATAATGGATTAATAATGTGCCCCCTCCAACTGACATGTATGAGCTCTATGAAAAGAACACAGGAAGATCTGAGTTAACTGAATGTATGCACAGCTACTACTTTTCATGATGTGAGACAACAAAATATTATTGACTCAGCTAATAAGTATGCTAGAACATTTTAGCCAAGTGTATTAGGGGTAAAATTGACAAGCAGGGAAATGAGACATGAGTTATAATTGATATGTTTGTTACAAAGAAGCAGAAAGCCAAATCTAATTTTATTGGAGGAAGAAAGGGCGGGGAGAGGAGGGGAAATCACCCAGCATGTCACTTCTTTGAAAGGCCCAAGGATTCCTAGTATAAGTCTGCTGCTTATCTGATGAGAAGGAGTGAACCCTGGTTTAAAGTTCCACCTAGAATTTTTAACCTCTCATCTCAGCATCTCTAACTACAAGTAATGAAACTGAGTGTCTCCTACATTTGACAAAATACAACCTTTATTGTGTTTTATTCAAAAAACCTGCCTGGTAGTGGAGAACAAACTGACCCTGATAAATCTGAATGCATTATCTGCACTGCTGCAGGTATGAAGGTGGTAAGAGGGGCAAGTGAAGAGGACCTGCACCCCATGGAACACAGGTGGGACGAGGCTGTCTGTGAAGTGTGCTTCTACAGTCTACAAAAGGTCAGCGGGATTTCTGCCATCAGTGAGGGTTTTCTCCCTAGCAAGCATGAGCATGCAGCTCTTTTGAAAAAGAAAAAAAAAAGCCTGATATTTGGTAAACCTCTTGGTAGCATGAAGACTGCGGGACTATATACAGCAGAAACTGTACACAAAGCCATCATGGATATAGAAAAATCAAAACTTGTCTCCTTCTTTGAGTGAAAAATCAATTTTTTTTTGTACTCCTAAGAATATAACTATTTTCTTTTAATAATGAGGCCCCAAAAGTTGAAAATATATCAAAAGACACAGCTTAGATTCAGTTTTCCTAGGATGTTCAAGTTTAAGTCAGGACTTCCGTTGTTTCCATGAGTATTTAAATTTAATGTCAACTTAATTTTTTTATTTAACTTTACACATTTTTCAATTTCTGAATCTACATGTCTAAGATTGCTAAACTGGAATTCTAAGAAGTCTAATGCTTTGTTGTATCAGCCAAGGTGAAATTAATACAACAGAAAACTGCACAAAGATACTTCAATTCTCACACCTGAGATTGCCATATTTGTATGGTTTTGTAATGGGAGCTGATAACCCTTTGCTTGAAGTTGGCTTATGGAAATCCACTCGACCCTGAATTCAAATGATATATTTTGAACCCTGTATGTAAATGGGTGGTGTTCATACAGTTTGATTTTCAAATTAGATGTGAGTTTGTGAAGTTAGTATATACTCCACAATCAACAGTAGATAGATTTATATCTGTGATTAAATAGACTTAATGTACTCAAACACAAACAAATCCAGACACTTTACAGAAATTTCAGTGCTGTATCACAAGTTAGATGGTTTCCCTAGAGCAGCTTGTGCAAATAAATGGTGTAAACATATTACAGATTGTGAAATATTTTTCTTAAAATATCATCTTTCTCCTTCCTCAGTTCCATGTATGCTCATTTACCTTTTGTTTCACACTTTTTTTACTGTCTTCTCTTTTCAAAACTTCTGATTAGCTTTTTTATATGTTTCTTTACTTATATTTTCATTTATTATTTAAAATTTTTATTTACATTTTGATTTCATTTTAATTTTTACTTTTCCTAAATGAAATGTAAGCCAAATGGCACTGTAATTACAATCGGAATTTCTGACTACATTTTTCCCAATAAACTTCACATGAAACAGCAACATCTATTCATTCACTTGCTGATAATCATTAAAGCATATTTAAATCAATTTATACCATTAAACTATGGTTGAGTTCAGTCACGCATCTTTAAATACGCTGCTTAAGAATGAGGCCAGTAAAAGAGTCATTTAGTTTTGTACTTTTTGCCATAAATCCTGTTTCCAGAGCCAAGAGCTGTGAGCAGGATCTTCCTCAGAATTTGTGTCTTATTAGCTCACCGTGTTTCGCTGCTGCCATCTTCTGGCACAAGGGATAGTTCTCCTACAGTTTCCCAGTTGCTTTTGAAATACTTAATCGTTTTTTCTCTTTAACAGTATCAGTACGGTTTTTTGTTCATTTTGGCCTTAGATAATTTATCTATAAGTTTTGCAATGTCCTTTTAGCCACCTGTAATTCATCCACCCCAAAAAAATTTTAGGAGATATTGCAAACATAAAAACTAGTATTATAGAACAAATATCCTTTGCATTACTAAACATTGTATTGCTACAGATGTTACATATATTATTAAGTGTAGCTATTTAATAAAAGTTTTTGCCAATATTTATGCTGCTCATATTTTACTTTCAGATAACAAATTAATTATTCAGATCTAGGCCTGATTCTGTCTTTAAATTCCTATTTACTACACCTTTCTGTTTTCATATTTAAAATATAGATAAAAGTATTTGCATTGTTTAAACTCCTACATTTGTGATCAAATAGCACGGTGATGTTCTCTCAACCATCCTTCACCACTACATAATCAGTATTTGAAAGCTAAGCAAAACTTCCAGCACTTAAGTTCGTGGAGCCTGAGGTGCTCTGATGTCCATCTGAGAACATTTTAGCTGACTGAAACACTCTAAGCTCCCAGATCACTTCTCCAGATAAGACAATGCTGCTATTCCGGGAGGCAGAAGTGTTGGATGCTCTGCAGGTGGCAGAAGCCCAAACCAAGCCCTGACCTGTGATTTATCCTCTTCAAAGAAAGGATGCTATGCCAGGATTTCTTGAAAACATGAAATCTTGTAATGAACATCTTCCTCAAACTAGGCTACTAAGTGACTTCACCATTACACCTCATGTTACCAGACACACCTCAGGCCTTGGGACTGACCACTCTGGGTGTCCATAGCCACCATGAGAATGTGCTGAAAGAAAATAAGCTTCCTAAATGAAAACATTGTTATTAGAGGAAAACAGCAGCAGGGAAAGGAGAGGAAGAAGGTTACAAACTAAATGCCTGAATATCACATCCTTTCCTCAGAAGTGTCCATAACTTCTAAGGCATTAAGCTGAGCCTTCCCTCAGGACAGCTGTGGACACTCCTGCGCGTCAGGTCTGACACAACCACCTCAGAATCATTTCCACTTCTCCTCTGCGCACCCCCCACCCCCCTCCCCCAAAATCAGACATTGTTCAGTCCAATTTTTATTTTATTTTAGTCTCTTTTGCAAAGAGTACTTCCATTCACTGATCCATCCCTGCTGAACTTCTGCCTCAGGGGAATGGTAGCCAGGTGTCCCTGAGTGCTGGAGTGAGTTCAGAGAAGGGCAACAGAGCTGGGAAGGAGTCTGGAGCACAAGTCCCGTGAGGAGCAGCTGAGGGAGCTGGGGATGTTTAGTCTGAAGGAGGCTCAGGGGTGACCTCTCTCTCCAACAAGGAGGTTGTAGCTAGGTGGGGGTCGGTCTCTTCTCCCAGGCAACCAGAGACAGGGCAGTGTTAAGCTGCACCAGGAGAGGTTTAGGTTGGACATTAGGAAGAATTTCTTCACAGAAAGGGTGATTAGACATAGGAATGCACTGCCGTCCCTGGAGTCACCGCCCCTGACGGTGTTAAAGGAAAGACCGGACGTAGCACTTTGTGCCATGGTTGTGCTGGGTCACAGGTTGGGCGCGATGCTCAGAGGACTTGTTCAACCTAATTCACTTTGCGATTCTCCCCGAGGCAGCGAGGGGAGCGGGGGTACGGAGACACGAGCCCCCTCCCCGCTATCATGGGGGCGGACAGAGCCTCTGCCACCCCGAGCTGCCGGAGACCCTCACAGGGCGCCTTCACCCTCCCACCCCCCGCCCGGAGCGGCCGCCCCCGGTTGCATCAGCCGCGGGGCCGAGCGGCGCCTGCGCGCCCGCCCCTTCCCGGGCAGCTCCGCGCGGCCATGGCGGGAGGTGACGAGCAGGTGGGACTCGCGTCCCCCTCGGGCTGAGCCGGGGCGGCTCCTCCGGCCCCGCGTCAGGGCTCGGGAGAGGGGCAACCCTGTCAGGAGGGCGGGTGCTGGCGGCGGAGGGGGCTGGGCCTCTTCCGTGGGGCTTCCGCAGCGGTGGGATTTGCCCCAGGGAAAAGGAGCTGGGAGCGGGGCTGGGGCTTCCCGCGGCGAGGGCGTTGGGTCTGTTCGCGGGATGGGGGGCTGAGGGGGCTTAAAGCGACTCCTGGAGAGTGAGGAAATGGTGCTCGCCCTCCGCAGGTGGGCAGTGGGGAGGAGAGGAAAGCAAACTGCGAGAAGAAGAAGATGAAGGACGGGCCCGGCGATGGAGGGCGGTCAGAGGTGAGCTACCCCTCGGCCGGGGGGTGGGAGATGCCGTGTCCTGGGCGTGCTGGTGGCATTTGCTACAACTGGCCCTTCTAAAGTGTTTAATCAGGCGATACAGTTACATCTTTCCCAGATTTTGCCCTGAAGTGACGTTGACGGGTTCTGCACCAAGTTTCATTGGGGTAATGGGAGGGCAGCTCAGATTGGCACAGCTGCGGCTCGGTGATGCTTTCCACCTGTGACCCTGTTTGCAGCGGGAGGCAGGAGGCAGATCTTTGGGATGAGGAAAGTGTGGATAAGGTGCTCTTGTCTTTTCCGTCTTTATGGTGGGTAAGACACACATCCTTCTGACTGCACAGAGGGCCAGCTGCGAGCCAGCACCAGTCCTGAACCAGCTGTGGAGCTGTGCAACCTTGGCTGTGCCCAGGGGGATAGTCCTGACGTCGGTACACGTGTGTAAGCTGGAGTCAGTTCCTGTCTGGCTGGACAGGAACCGGCATTGCCTCAGTTTTTTGACTTAATAAGAAAACTCGGGTTTCACATTGCTCTTATACAGTCTTCTCAGGTTGATTTTTACCCTTTAGGTTATTAAACAAGTGTTTAATAAGCCGTGTAAGTGATTGGTAACATATGTGGTTTATTAAACAGGTGTACAATGGCATAGTTTTCATTCAACTGAAGCCTTATGACATTATGAATGATGTAACTAACACTACATAACCTGGAATAATGTTGATTATTTTTTAGATATAGTATTTATATAGATATCATCACGTAGCTGCTTATGAAAAGTATAACTAGTGTTTGCATTCTTGACATAATGTGCTATCAGATTAATAATCTATAAACTGTTTTCCTTTCTCTTTATTCTGTGTAGCTGAATCCTTGGCCTGCATTTATCAATGAGCGTTTAGAGATGTACAATAAACTTAAAGCTGAACATGATGCACTCCTTGCAGAAAGAGCTGCAAAGGACAGTAAACCCATTAAAGTTACACTACCTGATGGCAAGCAGATTGATGCTGAATCTTGGAAGACTACTCCTTATCAAATTGCTTGTGGAATTAGGTACGGTTCTGTTCTGTGATACACACAATCAGGGTCAGACAGTGGCTTTAAGGGGATGGGTAATGTATGATTTCTTAGTCATTTATCTCTTCTCAAAGCACATTGTGTACAATGAACTGGAGGTAACTGGTTGGGTTTTAGTTTTGGAGTGAAATTTTTTTCTTCTTTATAAAGGTACAGTTTCTAATATTAAATAAGAATAGAACTGGGGTCTTTTTGATACATGTTACTTGTGGATTTTCTCCTGCAAGTACTGCTCTTGCATTAAGACCTGATTTGCTAGTAAATGATCAGATTGAATGTTAGCACTTGCAAACCAGCTTGCATTGGCCTGAGGAGAACTGCTGGGTGATGTTTCAGTTGATTTCAGAGAAAGATAACATATGAGCATCTCTCACTTAATTGTACCTTTTACTTGCATGGGAGATACCTATCCAAAAGAGTATTGCACATCCACAGGTTACTCATACTAGCTGTGGGTCATTTTTGAATGATACACAGTGAACACCCTGACAGTTAAAATTACAAAAATTGGATGATTCCTAAAGGTGAGATGCCTTTTTTGTTTTCTTTTTGCCCCCTCCCCGAAAGGTGCTATGACATTGGAATTTATTTGCTTTTGTGATTTGGGATCAAGAAAAGGGTATTTTGCCTAGTGGATACAAACTATAAAGTTACTACATCAAAAATTGTATTGGATAATTTTTACGAGAGAAGTTCTGTGTTATATTGCAGTAGAATTGGTAAGTCAGGTTAGTACCTTTAGGTGACTGCCTCTAAGTCAAGTATGTTAAAAAATGTATGAATGTTGGGTATATAACACAATTTACTTTCCATATCTCTGATATATAAATAGGATTTTTCATGAGTGTTCAAGACTGGTTAAGCTGCTTGTTTATTTGGAATTTATATATGACACTGTGTCCACTCTGAGCACTCCTGATCTTATTCAGCCTGGAGGGGAAAATCCAGGGGACTTCTACTGGATGATTTCAAAATACTGTATACTTATTATGAATTATAATTGTACTTTTATGTTTATTGTGTAGTCAGGGATTAGCTGACAACACTGTTATTGCTAAAGTGAACAAGATGGTTTGGGATCTAGACCGTCCTTTGGAGGAGGATTGTACCTTGGAGCTGCTTAAGTTTGAAGATGAAGAGGCTCAAGCAGTGAGTATCTTCTACCAAAACTTGTTTACCCTTGGATTTACATGAAATTCAGCTTCTGGTAGTTATTTGCATATTTACTGTGTTCAGAAGATGAAGAGGAAGGAACAGGTTTGCAGTGTAGGTACATCTGCATTTCCTAATAGTTCCTTACAGAGTGGTTTTGGTACTACAGATAATGTACATTCTGCTGTGTACTTGTAGCCAATTCTGCTCACAGTTGCTGTAGATTATGTCAAGTTTATTCTCATTAAAATTTTACATTTACAACCTTTGTGTTCATATAAAGGAGGTCTTTTGAACTGACCTCTTCAGCACTGCCTTTGAGAACAAAACAGTACAAAAGTACTGTCTATGTACAATGATAAAAGTACTGAGTGGGCTCCTCTTTTTCTTTTTACATGCAAATGTACCTACTTTATCTTGCCTACTCGTTCAGATAAATGTGGATATCCAGTAAACTGATAAATACTTTCTTTAGAAAAAATGAGTTGGTACAAGAAGCTGTCAGTCAAACTCATCACAAAAGTCTTGCATTCAAACTCAGAGTTTTGTTACTGGCTAAGTGAGGGCTCCTGATTTGTCTGTGCTAGTCAAGACAGACGAACTCTTACAGCTTTAGTTTTGTCAAAACCTCAGGTGTCCTAGAAGATGGAATGTGCAGGATTTCCCATGCATAAAATCTTTGGACTAGGACAACAGCCTAATGTTGAAAGCACTCCTTTTGGTCTTTATGCAGAGTTGATTGATTGAAGTCCTTAGGAAAAAAAGGTTTCTGAATTAGTTTCCAGACTTCTTGAAAATAATTGAATAATTTCAACAGTAGTTGGAAATAAGAATTGTTTGCTACCACAGTCTAAGCAGTTTTGTGGTGGAAATGCTACCTTTTGGAAACATTGGTGCTTGGGCTGAGAGTGTTGCTGGGCAGGTCACTTCTCTTCTGCTGACTGATCTAGTGTATCCTTAAAAGCAAGAGTTTCAAAAAAGGTTTTAAATAAAACAGTTGAAATGCACTAATTCCCTATTTTTTTACTTCCACTAGGTGTACTGGCACTCAAGTGCTCACATAATGGGTGAAGCAATGGAACGGATCTATGGTGGCTGTTTGTGCTATGGCCCACCAATTGAAAATGGATTTTATTACGACATGTTCCTTGAGGAAGGGTATGTTTTGTATTTTTCCGGTTTTTTGGGGGTGTGGGGTGGCAGTCACAGCAAAATTTCTGTTACGTACTTGTTTCTGGAACATCATATCTACTGCTATAGATGACTTTGTCCTTTGTAATGCCTCCCATCCACAAGCTAGTGGATCACAAATTGCAAATGGAAGCAAAAATTATTCACTTCTGTGTGTGTGTGTTTATTTTAGGGGTGTATCAAGTAATGACTTCTCTGCTTTGGAAACATTATGCAAAAAGATAATGAAGGAAAAACAAGCCTTCGAGAGACTGGAAGTTAAGAAGGAAACACTACTTGAAATGTTTAAGGTAGGCTGTTTTAGAAGGTTGTTTCCAGCCTCATGCTTTAAGTCTTTAAAGTCTTTAAGTGTTTGTAACTTTAGTATATGTTCTATTAGTGGTAGAGGAAAGTCTATCAAAGTAACTTTTTAAGGTTCTTATAAATTCATTTGTGATATCTAACAAAAAAAAATGAGCAAAGGTGTAATTCTTAGTTTCTTGAGAATGTAAGAACTATTTCTTCCACTGAGTGATCTTCACAAAATCTGTGAACTTGCATTCTTCATTTATTTCCCAGAGATACAAATTTGCAATGTATTATGTGCAGTTATGTTGTATTATCTTGGCTGTATGATACTGTAACTGCATGTGCTGCTGCATTCAGAAAGCTTCATAAAACGTTTTTTAAAATGAGGACTTCTGAGAAAGTCCAAGCAACACTAAAAGTTCATGCTTTCCCTTTCGTATCTAGCAGCAAATAGTTTTTTTTAATTCCTGAGATAGATGTTACTGAGTTTTCACTGTTGGGACATCAGGAGGATCATAGTGTCATTCAGACCTACCTCTGTAGGTCTCCAGTCCAATATCATGCAGAGGGCATGGGACCAACACTGAAATCAGACCAGGCTTCCGACTGGGCCTTCAAAATTTCTTAAGGACAGAGACTGCACAAACTGCTTTCTGGGCAGCTTGCTCCACTACTGCTCTGTGCTTCTGTCTGTCTCTTTTACAGTCCTCTTTTCATGCAGCATAGCATCAGGTTTGCAAATAATTTAAACTGCTGGCCAGTTCTCCTGCTTAACAAAGACTTAACAAATATTTGTGCTGCTTTTTTTCTCAGTATAATAAATTCAAGTGTCGCATCCTGAATGAGAAGGTCAATACTCCAACTACTACAGTATACAGGTAATTATGCTGTATAATCATAATTAGTAAGTGGATATCATAATAATCATAATAGTAAGTGGATCATAATATTACTGGATTTATGAATCTAGGGCTAAATATACCAAATAAATGCTTTCCTATTCTTAGGTGTGGTCCCTTGATAGATTTATGCAGAGGGCCTCATGTCAGACATACTGGCAAGATAAAGACCATAAAAATTCATAAGGTAAGTGCTGAAACTTCCTTAGACAAATGTTTTCACTGAAAATGTGTTGATGTCTTTGGGCTGAGGCAAGAATGTACTGTGAAATGAGTAACCTGGCTAAAAACTCAGTGTTGCAAATTGTGGAAAGCTTGTGTGCTGGAATGATATTCACATGGTGTGAAGCCAGCTGTGTGTCCAGGGCTTGCACTTCCAAGCACAGATAGGAACACAAGTTTAGCTCAAGTTTTGACTGAAATGTGTCAGTTAAAGTTTATTGGTTTTGCTCAGCTGATGGTTGTAGCTGTTTGTGATTAAACAGTTGGAAAAGGATAGCTACAAAGAGAGCAGATAGGCTTTGGAAAAAGACAGGAGAGAGCCCAAAACCATATTTGCTTAGTGTGTTCACCTCTTCTTTCTGGATTTTTCTGATCAGTGCTCTGAATTTACGATTAAAATTCTCTGTACACTTTAGTTGTTCCACATTAATGGTTTATTAATAATTATATGCCTTTTCATGGCAGGCTGTAGTAGTGGAGGCTCCTCCTTTTCTTCAGTGTTACATTTATTTTTTTGCATGCAGAATTCTTCTACCTATTGGGAAGGCAAGGCTGATATGGAATCCCTCCAGCGGATCTATGGAATTTCATTCCCAGATACAAAAATGCTGAAGGAATGGGAGAAATTCCAGGAGGAGGCTAAAAGCAGAGATCACAGAAAAATTGGGCGGGTGAGACAGTTTTTCTAAGTAATGTATTTCAAAAACACTGTGTGGATTTAACCCCTTAACTAGAAGCGTCTTGAAGATAGCGTATACTTTGCTGCCACAATCAAGATGTGACACAATTTTATTTTGAGGTGCGAAGTCAGGTACTTTTCTTTCAAGCATCAAAGTCCTAGAAAAAATAACTTTTTGCTCTTTTAAATGCAATGACATCCTTATTCCACAGATCAGTCAGAACAGAACAGAAACACTTCCATCTGCAACACATGAATGCCGCACTCTGTGGGCAGTGCTCATTCCAGCGCAGTTTGCTGTGGTCTGTTCACACAATTATCTTCTTCTGTGTGATTTCAGAATCTGTAATACAGAGCTATGTTTTTTGGTTGGCTGGTTTTTGGGTTCCTTTTTCTTCAATAGATACCCCTGTCAGATAACTGATAGTTCTGAACAGCATTACAATGTCTGCTGCTAGTACATCATGAAAAAATACAGAAGAATTCACTGTGTAGACCTCAAGCATGTCCACAGTTTGTCACATTAGCCAACTGTAGTTCACTGTAGTTCACACAATCATTTCATGTGCACATAATTAGCTGCAGAAGCATAACTAAACATTTACTTGTCGATGTACAAAGGAAGCTGTGGGGGCACAGTTGGGAGTTAAGTGTGAAGTTCTGGAGCATCAGTAATGAAACACGAAACTGAACAATCCCCTTCCCCTTTAACTACTGATGGACATAAAAATACTAGTGAAAAGGCATCTGATCTATTGTATATTGTGGGGTTTTTTTCCAGGTTTTTCTTTTTGAAACTGATAGTGATGCCCAGTCAGTAGTAATTCATTTGTGAATGTTAAGTGAAAAAAGTAGGGTGCAAATACTGAGTTTTTCAAGTATTATTTTTCTGCAGGACCAAGAACTGTTTTTCTTCCATGAGCTTAGCCCTGGTAGCTGTTTTTTCTTGCCAAAAGGAGCTTACATTTATAATACATTAATTGAATTCATCCGGGTAAGTGCTGTCTTTTGGAAAGCTTATAGAAAAAATTGCATGATTTTAGAAAAATGTGTAACAGCATGCTACATATTAACAGTATTAATAGCCTTTCATTTCAAGTTATTTTAATCTCTTAATTCTATAAGGCACTAAAGAAACCTGATTTTTTTGAATTGGTCTTGTCACAGTCTCTGCAAAATTACGTTATATTATAAAAGTACTTTATATCTGCAGCTAAAGCTGTGATAAAGGTGCTTTATAATATGAATTCGTTAACATCTAATAGTACAGCTAAGCTCACACTACTGCTGTTCCACTGATGCATATTGATTTGTTTTAATAAACTTACTTAATTTGGCCCTGGAGACCTATTCACTTTGAAAATATATGTAGAAAAAAACCCCTGTTGTAATATTTGAAGTCTTTGTTTTTACTGTATATTTAGGCTGCAATGTACTATCAAGTATCATCGAGTAATTAGAGACTGCTGCTTTGCTTGCAGGGAAGAAACTTGTTCTTCTTGCTTACTACATGCCCAACTTGAATTTTTCTCTTCCCTGCCTCCTTCCCTAAGTTGTGGAGTTTTGTACAGCAGCATTTGTATATTGTTATGGCTGCGGATTGAAGTCTGTACTTTTGCTTTCTTTATTAGTTATTTTATAACAAATAAAGTTATAAAATAAACTAAATAAAACAACTGTAAACAAATAAAATAAATACTATAAACAATAAAATAAAACAACTAACTGTTGTTTTAGAGTGAGTATCGAAAACGTGGATTCCAGGAGGTTGTCACTCCAAATGTTTTCAACAGCAAACTGTGGATGACTTCAGGGCACTGGCAGCATTACAGTGACAACATGTTTTCCTTTGAAGTGGAGAAGGAGATCTTTGCTCTGAAGCCCATGAACTGCCCAGGACACTGGTAAATACATAGCAAATCCAGTTTAGCAAAGATGATGGGGAAAAAAAGAGCAGTCCCATCCTCCTCCTTTTACCTGTGTAATTGTAGAGATGGCTGTCTTCAGGTATTCATGCTGTCAGGAATGCTGTAATTGTGACTGTTGTTGTCTACACTCTTTCTTTACCCGAGACACTGAGAAATGTCATTTTTCCGCCATTACAGTGATGGTGTTTTAGACCTGAATCTTACCTTGATACTACAAAACCTAGATATCCAAAATAAATACTGGGACATTGTCAATTTTGTGGTAGTTTAGGCATTCAGCTTTTAATGCCCAGTTTTAGGACTTCTCGTATCTTCTCTCTGTGAGGTGGGGGAAGCCTACCCACTGTAAAAGGAGATGTGCATTTGTTTTCCTGACAAAACTAGATATGACTGATGGTTCTATCCAGATGACACCACTGGCTTAGTGGGCATGTGCTTAGTCACTGGTACCTTCTCACTGCCTGCACTTTGCAGAATTTTGATTCTCAGTGGGCTCCCAGTAACAAACTTTTCCTTCAGCCTCATGTTTGATCATCGCCCGAGATCGTGGCGTGAGCTGCCGTTACGTTTGGCTGATTTTGGAGTCCTGCACCGCAACGAACTGTCAGGAGCTCTAACAGGGCTCACTCGAGTGCGCCGGTTCCAGCAGGACGATGCTCACATATTCTGTGCTATGGAGCAGGTATGGGCTGCTGTGAAAGGAAATCGGGCATTAATATCCCATTGACTGATTTTTTTTTTCCATAATTTACACATTATTTCTCTTGTCATAAAGATCGAAGAGGAGATAAAGAGTTGTCTGCAGTTCTTGCGTACTGTGTATGATGTCTTTGGATTTTCCTTTAAACTGAATCTCTCCACTCGTCCTGAAAAGTACCTGGGAGATATTGAAGTGTGGAATCAGGCTGAAAAGGTAAACAGTAGTTTTATTAACTTTTTTTACAAAAGCAAGGCTGCAGCTGCAAGTTCTGTAAGAACTGCAAAGAGAACCAGTTCTGCAGCCTCTATAGTAAGACTTAGATCCATTTCCTGAAAGTGAGGTTGGAAGGGATGGGGTTAACCCTTGCAGGTGCAGTGCTAGGGAGAAGATGGGGCAGGAATAGACATTTGGTGTACCAGGGTGGATCTCATCTCAAAGTTATCTACAGACTTTGAATCTGGCATAAACAGTTCTTGCATCTTAGCTAATGCTTGTTTGGCCTCTTCCAAAATGATTGCTTTAATTTTGTTTGTTTAAATTTGGACAAATTAATTTTTTTTTTTTAGTTGGCTCTCTTCCAAAATTTCCCTTTTTCAGTCAATAAATGAGTTTCAGCAGCAACTGAGAAGTACAGAGAATTTGGTAGGGTCACCTATCTGTAGTAGCAGGCTACCCTGATGCTGTAACATGGAAAGAAACACTGAGTGTGTGTCCTTTTATCTCCAGCAACTCGAAAACAGCCTCAATGCCTTTGGCGAGAAGTGGGAGTTAAACCCTGGTGATGGAGCTTTCTATGGACCTAAGGTTAGTATGTGCTAACAACTAGCTGGTTTCAACTTTTAATTCTGTTTGGATAAGGCAAAAGGCCTTATCCAGGAATAAAGTATTTTTTTTTTGGTTACAGTTATCTAATACCATTTTAAGATGCTGTCTGGCTAAAATCTTCTGGTTTTCCAGAAACAGAAACTCTGACATACTTGAGAGAGGGATAATACTCTGTCATCCTGGTGTTCACATAGTTGTAACGTGAGTTCTAACACTCATTTCATTAATTAAACCCAGTTTACATGAATCAGCTATTTGTCCGCAGCTTGAACAGAGCTGACTGGTTTAGCGGGCAGCATGAACAGAAGGTGGCACTGTAAGATCTGTTTTAACAGAGCAACTCCTGCATTAGAAAGTGAATCCTAGGTCACGAGAAGAACAAAAATAAACTGCTTTTAAATCTTTCCGTAATACACCTACACTACATTTATGTCTGTGTTCTCATCTAGTAAACTTGTTCTGATTACTCTATTTGTATGCTAATGATTCAGTTTCAGTTTATTGTGTTGTAAGTGAAATGTGTTATAGCAGCTAGTCATTCATAACATGAAATGCAAACAAGATTTAGTAATTTCCTCATTTGATTGAAAGAGGGCATATGTACAGGAACCTTTGTTAACATTAATTAACCTTACACTTGCTCCTAATACAGTCTGAATTTGAAATTAAAGTAGATTATAAAGAATGAAGCTCTATTGTAACTAGCTGAACTACGATAAACTCTGACTTCTGATTCCAAAGTTGAAAGATATTTAGGTCTCAAGTTGTTAAAACACTGATCTGGGTGTATAATACATAAATTAAAATAAGGGACACAGCCTCAACATATAGCCATACTGGTAAAACGATGAGTAAGTGAGCAGTGTGATAAATAATAAGGTCAGGACACTATAAATCTACTGTTTTCTATCAGTCTTTTCTGTCTAACTTGTATCATAAATTTACTCGGGATTTAAGTGTCGGATGCAAAAGAAAGAATAGGCTTGACTCATAGGTCAGGATTAGTAACATTGATTAATATGACTCTCTACTGGTAAGTGGACTGTTTAACAGTAGGATTCTCATCCCACGTTCATGCCCTGAATTTGTAACATAAGCTACAAAGTTTTCAAATACTGCATAATATAGAAGTGTAAGTTTGCCAATTTGATGTTGAGGAAGTTTTATTTTTGTGCAGACATGTTCAGTTCTGCACTTACAGGCTGCTTAATTCACTCAGTGAAAAGGCCCATGAGAGTACCAGATGGAAAACCACAAAAAGTAATCTGAGATATCTAAGGTAGTTCCCCCCTGAAGTTTGTCTCTCTACTTACTCACTCTGGTTTTACTCTAACATTTTTTGCATCAGACCCTGCAAATCACTTAAATTTTAACACAGGCTGAAGTAAAACTATGCTGTCTAAAGGTACATGTAGTTCCTCTGCATTGAATGAAACCCGTCTTAAAACAATGAGTTTGCTTTCAGAGGGGAATCCTTGTCTTTTAAGCTGTAGTAAAAGTTTGTGTCTTTGTGTTTTTAAGATTGACATTCAGATTAAAGATGCCATTGGCCGCTACCACCAGTGTGCTACAATTCAGCTTGACTTCCAGTTGCCAGTCAGATTTAACCTCACCTTTGTCAGGTAAGCACAGAGGCTGATGGCTTTAAGTTCTGTATAATCTAACTTCACTGACGCTTACAGGCATAAGTTTGCATCGAGTAAAAAAACCTTATGAAACCCTTTTCTTTACAGCCATGATGGTAATGACAAAACAAGACCAGTTATCATTCACCGGGCTATCTTGGGATCTGTGGAGAGAATGATTGCCATTCTAACTGAAAACTATGGAGGCAAATGGTAATGTTGAGAACTTATTATTCTAGTTTGAGCAAACACTTTAGGAGAGAAATTAGCCCCAGGCATCCAAGAGTCAAGAGGGTTTGTTTGTTCTTCTTGCTTGCTACAGGGACACGCCATAGGAATACCACAAGGCAATTTCTTCTGAACCACCTGCCTTAAGTATTAAATAATTCAGGATATGGTAGATTCTATACGATACTGCTCATGCAGTTGCAACATACAGCTACTCTGCCCAAGGCATAAGTCTCCCAACTGCTTTTACAGCTGAGCTGCCTTGTAAAGAGTTATTTATGTACATGACCTACTTTACCTGTATAATATATGTATAACACCCACTGGGAATGACCCCTCTGATCATAACAAGACTGTACTAAAGTAAATGTTTTCCTGTGCTTAGTTAGTAATAAGATCAACAACTCAATTATGATTTGTTGTATATTGTAAAACACAACATGAATCTTCTGGTCAGTGAGTGCTTTTGCCCACAGTGAATTCTTTTAGACACTCAGCTCTTTTTAGGAGATAAATTGTAATGAGTGTAGGGCTCTCATCACCGAATCTAACCAGATGGCTTGATGAGTCTCTTGTGTAGATTGTACTTCTATCTGTAAATAGGATTTCATACTGAAAGCTAAATAAACTTGTTTTGTTTGTTTATTGAAGGCCGCTCTGGCTGTCCCCACAGCAGGTAATGGTGGTACCAGTGGGACCAGCGTGTGATGAGTATGCTCAAAAGGTGATATACGTGGTTTTGTGCTTCATTTTCAGTATATTGCATTTAGCTGAAATACCTGGTTATTCATGATTAGTAGTATTTATCTCAGACAAGTGTTCTAAGTCTTAACATATTGAGTCATTTTTATATTACAGTGACAATTAGCTGCTGAAGTTGTGTAGATCTTTAAGAAAGATAACCTGAGTTAGATTTTGGGTACATAAACAACAAATGTTGGTCTTTGTGAGACTTTTATCTTTGGAAAACTTAGTTTTTCACTCTAGCTCAAAAGCTATCTTACCCTTCCGGTTCAAGTCTCCCATGGCCATGTGCATCTTGCAGAGCAGTAAGAAAGATGAAAATAAGTCTTTGCATATTTTGCCTCCATCAACGATCTCCTATAGTTTTTTCAAGCACACTATATATGAGTAAAATAGTCTGCAAAATAAATAAAAAAAAAAAAATCTCTTCTAATCAGTAAGCTGCACCAGCCTGCTGCCTTTTACAGTATCAAACTCCAATCACTATTCAGCCCAAACATTAGATGTTCACATCACTGCCCATTTCTTGTGTGTATGTAGTTGCATGATAGCTGACTTAATTTTAATTTCTTGAACTGGGCTCATCTCTAGCATCGGAGCCCATGACAGTGTCTTTGTTTTAGGGGTCAGATAATCTTAACTGGCTTAAGTCTACATATCATAAATAGTTCATGATCATGAATATCCTGCAGTGACAGTTTAAATACTTTTTCTCCTAGGTCCGGCAGGACTTCCATGATGCAGGATTTATGGCAGATGTTGATGTAGATCCTGGGTGCACACTGAACAAGAAGATCAGAAATGCTCAGCTTGCACAGTATAACTTTATTCTAGGTAACGTATTTCTTACCTTATCCTGGCTGACATTCTTGTTACAGGATTTGATCTTCTGTGAGCAGGGCAGGATTGTAATCAGTGGTTTAGGTCACTTTGTTCCTAAGGGTCTCCATTGCAGAGAGTCTTTCCTGCCTACATGATAGGCGTTTCTCACTTTATAGCTGTCACTGAAAGATCACTGTAACCCAAGGCATTACTGTTGCTATAGAAAAAGGTTTTTGCTGTTCTTTCATCAACCATGTGGAGACATGTATGAAGTCTCTTGTTCTTTGTCGGTCAGATCCTTCAGTTATTTTTCATTCTCCTAATAATTTATGCTCTTGTTTCTAATGGAGCAAAACAAATGCCGTGTTTTCACTCCATTCAACCAGAGTGCACTTCTGAGCTGTGCATGCACAGGGTGAGCCTCTTTTAGACAGGGTGATGCAGGGACAATTAGAAACTGATCCTGAAGTGTTTGATTTGAAGGAGCACATTAGTCCTGTCATGTAAATTGGGGGTCTGTCATTGACCTTAAAGTTATCTGGGATCCACTAGAGTCAAAGGAGCCTTTGACACAGAAACTGCCCTCAGAGTAACTGACAGAACCATGAAAAAAGTTCTGTTGTTTAAAACTTTAAGCATTTGATACAAATAAGGCACAAGCACATTTCACTTTCAGGACCACAAACAAATAATCACCCTATTAAGGAAAAAAAAAATCTCTCCTTATTTACATTCAGAGGTTGTCTCAAAGAGTTTAGATTGGGTACTGGAGAAACACAATCTCCAAGTGTGTTATATAAAATTTATTTTAGTTAGACACACACGTATTGTCTTGGTATCTGTAAGATTTTTAGACTTTTATTTAGTAAGCTTAAATTTTTTCAGGGATGGGGGTTGGGGGAAGAGCTTGCTGAATTTTAAATTCATTCCTTTTGTGTCTTGTTTTTTTCTAGTTGTTGGTGAAAAGGAGAAGGCGAGTGGAACAGTGAACATCCGCACGCGGGATAATAAGGTGCATGGAGAGAGAACCATTGCAGACACTGTGGAGAGGCTGCTGCAGCTGAAACGCTCTCGTTCCAGACAAGCTGAAGAAGAATTTTAACACCCACCTGCTCTGCATGACATAAAAAAAGAAAAAAAATTCTAGTTTTCCTAGTTTAGTTTACAGAGCTTTTGTTAACAGAGCTTTTGTTCTGAGCCAGATTTCACATTTGGATCTCATGCTCATTTTAATGGGGATTTTTCTTTAGTCAGAAATGCTTCTTTTTGTAAAAAAAAAAATCAATTTTTCACAAACCTTGAAGTAAAATTTCCTGTCCTCTAACTAATGACAGATGAAGCAAGGTGAAATGGCTTTTTGTGACTGCAAGGGAAAATTGCAATGTTAATCAGGGATACCTATAGCATTCTAACTACCCTGTTAAGAATAAAATCCTTTTTGGTAGCAAATGTTTTTCATGAAAGTTGTAACAAAAAACCTCAGGCTTAAGAAACCTCGTAAACCTAGTAAACATGCACAGCAGCTGCTTTTGGAGTGTCTCCATGAGCAAGGAAAGTGATATCTTGACATCCTGTCTCCCAGTCTTACATCAGTTGAATATACTGACTCTCAAGAATTCCCAGTTACATGAAAGGGGAAATGCTCTGCCACAGAGCACCGAGCTGCTCACCAAAGCTGCTAACCAAAGCCTACTGTGCCCTTTTCCAAAGGCAGTCTCTGAAATGTGCTGGCTCTGCAGGTCATGTCCTTGGAGCTGAAGAAAGGGGATAACACTGTCTGAAAAAGGCATGGCATAGTAGGGCCAAAGAAGCAGTTAAGAAAACCAGGATTCTTAGAAACAAAAGGTCTTCCTGTTCCTGTCTCTGAACTGTTTTTACAGTAAGGTTGTATGTCACACCAGAAACAAGAAAGTACTGAACGGAAAAGGATAGTGATTATTTGTTTAAGACAAATGCAATCTTCCAATTTAATGGGTACAGTCCCCTTCCATGGAACACTTCTTCCCAAGCCTCTAGTCCAGAGCATCACATACTTAATTAGCACCCTTTCTGTCTTACAGCTGATGAATCTCATCAGTTGTTTTTGGGTTTGGTTTGAGGCATTTTTGTACATTTGGCTGACAAGAGGCAAATGTCTGTTACTGACAAAAAATAAAATCTTGGTCTGGGGTTTTTTTGCGTCCATATGTTGTTTTTTTTAAATCTTAACTAACCTTAACAGCTTCCCAAGGTGATTGGTAACAGTTCCTTTAAAAAGAAAGCTATTGCTACAGCCCTAGTAAAGATCAGAAAATCTGAGGATGTGTTTGAACTATCTGATCTTTTCAAAACCTCATGAGTTTTGCCATTTCCATTACTGTCTGGGCAGAAGCATTTCATGCTGCCTTTTCTCACCTGTCTTACTCAGGGGAGATGGTCACATTTTATCAGCACTTGAACCCAGAGTGAATTCAGACTCAGATGGCAACCCCAGCAACTTTCAGCAAAATCTATTTCCTCCTCCTTTTGTTCATTCAGATTAAAGGTTCCATCTAAGTGCTGTGTGGGGGATAAAAAAAGAGGAAATTGATTTTCCACTACCTTGCTGGTTTCAAACATTTTTGTGAGAGTTACTAACTTTTCTGTATTTTACACCTGCTTTACTTTCCTGTGAAGTGACTTGCCCATGCAGTCACTGCAATGGAATCAGACGTCAGCTACCCCTGGGGCAGAAGGACTACCAAATACTGAAGCAAAACAAGTCCCTCAGGGAAAACAAACCACCAGCTCCGTTTCTCTCTATGAATCGTGCCTCAGTCTGCCTTTCCACTGCGCTGGTATATTTGTTGGTTCTCAGACAGCTCTGCTTTCTCTTTGTGGGGATTCTCGAGACTGGGAGAATCCTTGCCGCAACAGATTCTAGGCAAGCTTAGAAATCTTGGTTAAGTGATATAAAGAGTGGATGCACACATGTAATCGTTTAGACATAAACCGTTGTCCAAATCTGGGACTAAGTCTGGATCCAGCTTCACCTAGACTCCCCTCAGAAAGGAGGTTAGAATGTGAGGGGGCCCTTTCTGAACCTCATGACTCAATGGGAGGGTCTCCCTAAAAATTTTGCCCGACCCCATCCTCTGTGCAGTGACAATCAAGTGCACCTTGCTATTGAATCTTTTTAAACCACTGTTGCATCTACTATCAAAAATTGTTAAATATTGATATTGTTTTATATCAATAGACATACTGCTATTACTGTTACAAAGGAAGTGGCTCACTTCATCTGCAACACTTGCCTGGCCCAAGCAGCACATCTTCTCTCTTGGTTCGACCAGAAGTCCTCTGAACAGCAACTTTGGTCGCTCTTGTAATCTTTGGTAGGACTAAACTTCCAACAAAGTACTGTGCGTGTCTCTTAAGGCAGGATGCAGATTTGGTGTCATAGATTATTGGTGGGACCACTTGTCAAGCAGGAGAGAAGCCTCTGTATAATTAATTTAGGGTCTCAGAAGGCTGAAAGTCATCTCTCCAGTTCTACAGAGCCTGCTCTCATTACCAGAATTAGGCAAGAGAAATACAAGTAGTTTGCTGTTCACTTTTCATACTGTATACCCCTAGGGAAATTTTCAAGGGCATTTCCTGTGGAGTAGCTGGTAAGGTACAGTTCCAACTCTGCTTCACTGCAAAGCAAGTTCTATTTCCTCACTCTTTAAAACAGATTTTAAAGCAAATTGCTGAAGGATGCACGCAGAATGAAAGGGAATGAAGATATCTAATCTGATAGATCATCCAAGTATAAACAAGTAATGTCTGGCAGTAATTTCTGTACCTCGCAGGAACGACTGTGCCAGGATTCAGCTTTCTGTGAAGCTTCTCAGTTCTGCAAACTCCCCTGAAAGTTTCCCCTGGCCCAGAGCCATCTGGATGCTGCTACTACCAAGGGTAATTCCACTAAGGTACTTTCTGTCACATCTTGGGATGAAATTCCCACAGCAGCTCATAATACTTATTCCACCACACCACTGAGTCAGTCTGATGCAGTTTCAATATTCAGATTCAGTCATGTCATACCAACTCCTCTAGAAGCAGTGCAGCACCACTTTTGCGGAGAGCCAAGCTGTGAGATAAACTGTTAATTGCTGTAGGCACTTAGTCAATCTTGCCTCACTACATTTTTCCCACTGTATCGAAACCCAGTCCATACAGGATCCTTGATAAAAGAAAATCGTTTTGCCAAATCTGACTTTTCCCTTGTGAGACAAGGCCAAAATTAAGGGGTCTTCGAAAACTCATTTCAGGTCTGCAGCTCATGTCCTGTGTAATTTCATGATTGCCTTCTCCACCATTTCTAAATTGCACAATCATCTCTGGGAAGATCTAAGCAATTGACCCTCAAATCTGATAATTAGAAACTGACGGTATTAAACTTAACAACTGCTAAAGGCTATACTTATTGGAAAAAAAAAAAAAAGACAGAACATAGTGCTTGATGCTTAAAGAGCACTTCCAAAACAATTCAGCCTTTCTACATGGTAGAATTTTCCATCTACTTTGGACAGGAATATTCTTTCACAATTTTCTGGATGTGGCTGATGCCTTGTTAGCCACTGTGATTGAGCATGCTCATACAGAATGAGCTACATTTGGACTTGTACCAAAGTTAGTTTTTTTCATGTAAGAAAACATCTTCTGATAAATTACTACAAGAACACATGCTCAGATAAACTGGGGCAGCCAGGGACATTTTGTAGTGTTCTCAGACATTGAGGATAGTTCATCTGGGTTTCAATACATGAGATATCTGTGTCCCTCCCAAAACCACAGCCTTCAGCTGGATCACAAAGCTCTTCTGCAAACAGGAGAATGCTGTGAGTTGCACAGAAGGCATCTGTGAAAACTGGAAAAAAATACCAAGAACCAAATCAAAAGTATTCAGCATCCAAAAAAAAAAAAACGCCAATTAACCATTGACAGAGCCTCCACCAGGCAACTGTATGTCTCTGTACTAAAAGATAAGATAGTGGGGACCACTAGCATGGAGACAAAACAGATGAATCCACACTGCCACACGAGCCATCCTTGTCTTCCTCAAAGCCTTTGGAATTACCTCTCTAAGATCCCCGCAGAGAGAAGCAGAAACAGGAATGAGAGAGTTGGTGGAAGGCAGCAGAGATGAGGCAAGAAATCATGGAACAAAGGCATACAGTACTCTCCCTGCTGACATCCAGATGCAAAGTTAAGCTCCTTGGAGTCTGAACGTTCCACTATATGAAAGATTTATCTCACTAGCTTAGAAGAGAGTATGTTCACTCATGTCATTTTGGGGTTGACACTTGGAGCACCTTTTGTTATCTATCACAAGAAGAAGTAGGCTTATAAACCAGACTTTTATTGATTTTAGTGCACTCCTGAAACATGACTTAATACTTTGCAGCACCTTAGATGCAGAATGACAATCTAATCGTGTTTGATATGTGGTTTTTCAATTGCACACTTCAGGGACCATCTGTAAACTGTCTAAAGCACATTAGCTGTTACAGGAAAATTTCTCTGTAGTTTTGTTTAATGGGATACACGCCTATAAGGATGTGAAATCTCTACACCTGAGTACCTACAAGGATGTCAGGCTGCACACTGGAACAGCCTAGCTGTGCTGAGACTGAGGATTTCAAACACATTTCTACTTTATAGGAAGGAAATACTCTCTTCTCACCACCAGCATATAAAGTTAGAATTTTTGGTTGCTATTTCTGGTTTAATGGATCTTGAACTCCCGGCAATTAATGCCTAGGTTTTCAAGATGCTTCATGTAGAGCTGATGGAGCACATATTGTAATACTGTGGTGTTCAGCTTTGTGTTCCCAACAGAATACTTTGCAAAGCATTACTTTGTTTATAGGACAATATGTTGTCTTCTAATTAATAAACTCATCAGAACAAGTATCATAAACCCCTGAAAAAGTAATTTCAACCACCCTTATGCATGGGAGATAGTGCAGGGAGATTATGGCAAGCTGTCAGTCTTTGAGTAGCAGTGTTTCCAAGTGAATGTAAGTAGCAGCTCTGGTTTGTGACAGCAGTCTGCATACGAACCAAAATACACCAAATAATGCAATTTTCCTTTCAGTCAACGAAGAAAATCAAGCATTGTTTTGCCTAGAAATACCTGTCTTGTATTACCCATTAAAAATTTAGATGGAGAGAGATATCAGTACATACCTCATCTAAAGCACTAGTTTCATCACAGTAAGTGAGGAAACTGCTGGAGGTCAAAACACTGAAAGCATTCCTGTCCCATTCCATGCTGTAGCCAGGATAAAGCACCGTTACTACTGGGAAACTGACACAAAGCACATTTCAGCTTTCCTGAGCAGCAAACAGGAGGCAAGCAGGCAGCATTTAAATTACAGCTTGAGCTGAAGTGAGGAAAGGAAAAGGATTCAGGAACTGTGTGAGAAAAGGACAAAGAGGAAACAGCAGGGTACATCAAACAAGGGAGTGCCTTTAGACTCAGGAATGGGGAAGGAGAGCTGTTACTTGCCTATTTACATGTGTGTGCCACTCTGCAGGCAGCACAAGGCAAGGGCTCTGGCCACATGGCGAACCAAGCTCTCAGAAGCCAACTATGGTTTTCTTTTCTCTTCACTTTCCCTTCCACAAACAGGCTTTATCAAGCCGCTGCAGCAATTACACCTGGAATGACCGAGGCCCATGCAAGGATGACCCAGGGAGGCTCTTCCAACACCCAAACCCAGAGTCTACTGAGCAACTTCTGAAGATCAGCCCTGTTGCAATTCTCCCTTTCAGCCTTTAGCTGGAGTCCCTGGCTAATGGAGAACCTCCTCCATGACAGCCTCACCTCTGCTACCAAATAGAATATGTAAGGAAAACAAAACAAAACCAAAACTCTCTTTTCCCTCCCCCAAGGGAAGACACCATGCACACACTGTCTCCTCAGAGCAGAGGGCTAATGCTGGGCTGTGCTGAAGAGTATGCTGACCTCCAGACACTGTAGAGAGTTACGGACCAGAGCCTCAGCCAATGGGCTGAGCATGGGTTAATTACCACACAATCACAGCTAATCCCTCTGGCTTGTTCAGACTAGTGTTTATGGGCTTGCTATACTGGAGGCTGCTAGGAAACCACACGCACTGTGCCGGAGCTCATGGGTAGTGGGTGTTTGCTGTCCCTCCTCTCCTAGAA